GCCTCCGCTGCCGCCGCCGGCCGCCGCTCTGGGGAGGCTGCAGAGAGAACTGCGGGTCAGAGCTCTGCGTGACCTGGCCTTGACTTTTACTGGCTCTCCAAAAAAGTAGCTGTTCTCTGCATGGTTTCACTTTCCCATGGGAGTTCCTGGGTTTGTAAGGAGTCACATCAGAGCTGCTGACGGGGCTGCTCCGCTGAGCCGTCCGAGGAGCCCAGCCCTGGGAACTCCGGGGTGCTGGAGGGACTGAGCTCTTCTGAGGCCAGCCTGGGTTACTCTGCTCATCTCCAAGTAGCAATGAACCTGTATCGAACCGAACAGATACTGGCATTGTTCCTCGCACCGGTCAGAAGGTGCTTTGCTATTGATCTCAAGAGCTTCAGGATTAGTTTGTTAACAAGATTTTCTGAACCAGCACGTGAGCTAGAATGAACCAGGCTGCATGGGGAGAGAGAGTGGGAACATAGGGAAATTCACAGCAGCCTGTCAGCAAGCAAAACTGCAGATTGCTGAGAACTGGATGGTGATGAGCTGGCTGAGACAGGAAGAACAATGATCCAACACAAACAATTCTTTTGCAGTAGTGCAGGGAAAAAAAATTAAAGGGTTAAGCTCACTAATCCCTGCCAGTATTGGCACTTCCTCATTTCTGCAGAAGAGGAGAACTATTCCGGGTATCTCAGGCTGGCTGGCACTTGTCAGCAAAAGGTAGAAGCCTACCCAAAAATTTAGTCTGCAAGACTTCCTGTTGGTTTGCAATCTAAGGCTATTTGAAGAGAAGAATTAAATATCTGAACGGCTGTCTGCGTGGTAGAACTAAATCTCAGAGTTGGTTTTGAGGCAGGAAAATACCCAGTGCCCTGTATCAGCCACTGCAGATTTTCATCAGCTCCTGCACAGAGCGGATGTGAGCAGTACCTGATCAGGAGGCTCTTGTCCTCCAATTCTAGGGCTGGTCCTCATCCACTGAGAGTCTTCAAGCAAGCCACTGAAGATAACACTTTTAAAACTAGTTTGTGCCTTTCAATGCTCAGACTAATCAAGCTCATTAAGCTTCAGCTGGTTTTTAGGAGGCAAGACAGATCAGCCCGTGTTCATCTTGTGATGGGTTTTCTGGGGCACTACATGCAGTTGCTTTGGAGAAATTTGTTCTTCATGTGTTGGATTTGCCACTCAAAAAAGTCAAACAGTAGAGCCTGTTAAAAGCATAGAGCCAGGAGTATTTGTCATTAGAGTGGTTCCATTATAGTATTCTCCATGATTCAAACTCGACTTTTATTTTTTAATATGCTAGAAATGTAACACTGTAAAAGACATTAAACCCATTCTGTTGAAACAACCATGTCCCTGTCTGGGGACAGGAGCTGCAGCCAGTTGGAAGGTAGCTTCCAACCCTGCTCCTCCCTGAGAAAGACATCTAGTGACTCCAACATGAATTGGTATCTCAGGGCTGTCCAACAGGACACCCTGCATCTAAGTGACATATATGCCTCTCTGTCACAGTCTCTATGTACTCGTGTAACAGATGACTCCATTCACTGACAGGATATGTGCCACTGGCTGGATTGTCAGATATGTCCTTCAGGTTGTGCAGGAGTCCTTCTGACGTCAGTCCAAGGCAAGAAAAGGAGGAGCTGATAAAACACCACCTGCAGGAGTCCTCAAGGAAATGGCAGGCCAACCCTTCTGGGGTCAGACTTTCTCCACTGACTTTGTTTTGGCACTGGATGATTCACCCCCGTGTCAGGCTGGGAAGGCCTCTGCCCCATAGCCAAGAGGGCAGGAAGAGAGAAGGCACTTCAAGCAAGGTTCTTCAGGGGCACAGATAATTTCTGAATCTTTGCGTTGCCTCTTACTCACTTCTCTGCTGCCATCCTTCCTGTGGCTGTTGAAGGAAGAAGCCCTTTGTACTAGAGTCACTGTGGGGCCTCAGGCACCATCCTTGCCAACAGAAAGAGGCCACAGAGCAATGCTGAACAGAGACAAGAACAGCAGTTCACAAGAACTCAGTGCTAGTCTTAATCAGTCAAAGGCTGGGCAATGACTCCATTTAAGGCATCTATCCACTCCCTCTGCTCCTTGTCATTCTCACATACAAACACAAACTCTCTCACTGGTGTGACCACAGTGATGGCTGGTTTCCTTTTCTTCACTCGGACTCCCTGGGGCAAGCCAGCTCGCACTTCATAGCCCTCATCCATCCTTCCCATAAAGACCTGGCCCTGTGCAAATGCGTCCTAGAAAGAAGGAAGCAGAAGACAGGCATTAGCCAGCAGACAGTACAGCTCCAGCAGACACGGAGCTGGGGGTGCCTGAAGGGGAGGCTGATCTGGTGTCAGGCAGCAGGAAATGCACTGGAGGCTTTCTCGTGTGCATGCACAGGAGGAGGAGGTAGGGACCCACCCTTACACAGCCAGCTGCTGGGTGTTCATGAGAGTATCCCATTGGGAAGGCTATTCCTGTGGCCAGAGCAGTGCTAGGAAGCTGGGTATCAGGGCTGTCTGGCTTCTGTTCTTGGTGTATCACTCACCTTGCCTAAGGTGACAGGCACCATGGCAATAGGGCTGGGAGCGTGGGAATAAATGCTACAGGCAGCAGCAGCTGCTTCTAAAAGACTTAGACCTTCCTCACAGCCACTCTAAGGGACAGAGTTCCCAAACGGCTCAGCCTCAAAGAGATCCACTGCAAAAGCAAGGAGCCCTTGAGACTGAGCCTGCTTCTGACCTGTGCAGCCACTGGAAGAGCTGGCTGAAACAGACCCTTCCTCCCCACCCAACATCATGAAGGGGCTGGTGGAACAGCAAAGAACACTCCTCTTACCAGTGGATTTTTAAAGTACATCAGTTTCCTTTCTTGAGAATCCAGGCAGAACCAGCGCACCTTAAAGGACTCCTTCTGCTGCAAGGAAATGGTAGAAATTCTTTAAAGATCAAATTCCAAAGTGGAGTTTGGGCTATTTAAGGCACTTTGGTGGACTGCTTAAGTGACTCGGAGCTGGAGCTCAGTTTCATTCATCCCTGTAAGCATCTGGTAACAGTCACTGTTGTGCACAGTCCTCAGCAACCCTCTCCCTGGGTTCACACTAGAGATTTGAATTCAATGACAAGCCTTTGGGTAAGGCAGGGAAATTTGGTTCTACCAGTGATCAAATTATGAAGATTAAGAAAATCACAGCAAATGGATTAATTGAAAGCACTGCAGAAAATGATCCCCAGGCCAGTGGTGAAACTGAGGAGAGTGTGCAATCAGCTTCAGTGCTTTGGTTTGGGGGTGTCCCTGGCATGGTGCAATGCTCAGCATCAGGCTTTTTAAAAAGCTTTTTAAAAAGTTTTAGATCAACTCATCTGACCATTCCCTGAGCTATTCACTGCTCTGTGCTGAACTGAAGAGTCCTCCTCTAGGGCTCACTTCAGTTTGAGCAGAATTTAGGCCTCAGGAAAAAAACACACAATCTGTCCTGCTTGTAGCTTTATATGTTCTCTCTGCAAGTAGCTGCAGGAAGATGTGTTGGCACACTAGCACTAAGCTGGGCCAAAACCCCAGCATGTTCAGCATCAGAACTACACCCCTGAAGTTTTTAGTGGGACTTTGGTTCCTGGTTCACTCACAGGAGAGCAAGGCAAGAAACACAATGTTCAAACACACCCTCAGACCTTTATCTCCTCCTTCAGCAGGGCCCAAAATCTCTCTCTCCTATTCCCAGGAGTGGTGGCCCATCTACTTTCCCACAAAAACTGAAACCAAACCACAGGCGTTACTGTGGAGAATTTGCTCAATCAGACTTTGCTGCTATAAGCAGATGTGACTTATGTGCTACTGACTTTAAGAGGAACAGGGAAGTAGGGGAGCCAGCATGTGATGTTCTGTTCTAGCAGGAGCTGCAGCTCGAGAGCTGCAGTTAGCAGATAAAGAGATCTGTTCAGTGTTGTGTAACCCCACTTGGCATGTCCACTGCTAGCTTATGCATCTTGCTTACTCTTCAAGGAGGATTCTTCTTCCTCATCTTATTTTAGATGGAATATAAAACATGATCCAAAAGAACATGACAGGCTTGAATAGAAATTTATCAACCCAGGAAGCATACAGTCACTCAACAAATAATTTACTAGTAAATATCACAGAATTATCAAATATTCTCCATCTAGAATAACCCTGTTTGTATACTGCCAAGCATGCACTTACTTTTGGTCCTGTTTTCTCCATATATCCTTCTTTGACATAATTTCTTGTGATCCTCGGTATGAGCTAGAACACAAACCCAAAAAAAAAAAGTCTGTCTCATTCAAGCTTGCTTTTCTGTTCTGTTTCTATCAAAGCTAATCACTACAAATTTTGGCTTTTGGGGTCTGTTTTTTTTTTGGCTGCTCAGTAAAGGGAAGTCTGAAATAAGAAGGAACATGAGATATTTGAAAGATCACACTTTGTAAGGAACAGATGCAGACTTTTGGGTCTTAAACGCTGACTACATTTTTGCACATTATCCAGTGTAGCCTTTCCTTCTACCTCTTCTTTCCATTCCCAAGACCTCTATGCTGCTGTTTGAGCACTTGACTCTGTCAGAAGAAGTGAGAAAATGTTTTCCTATGCTTTATTTGCATAGACTGCTTCATGCCCTGTTCAGTTCTCACCTCGGGCTCAGGGACAGCTGGGAAGGTTGTTCTGAGATAATGGTAACGTGCTGCTCGAATGGCATTGAACCAGTCAACAATCTCCTAGGGAAAACAGCAGATACAAACATAAAGACCAGAATAACGAGGAAGAGTAGGAGTGCTGCCTCTCCACAATGCCTTCCTCCTGCCTTGTGACTGCTTTGCAAAGATATACTTTCCTCTCAAGGGGCAGAGAGAGTTCATGACTTGTCCCAGACATGTGAAAAACACTGAACCTCCAAAATAATTTTTAAATGCCCCTCAAGGGAGGTCCCAGACATTCTAGGCACGAGCAGTCACCCAAGTCTGTGTACACAGGCCTTTTCAGTTGATTCAGTTATGGATTGTTTAAAAACCTTTGTAGCTGGAAAGACATGAGAACTATGGCAAAGGAAAAAACAGAAATCTAACAAATCCCATAGACATACTTCTTAAAATTATCATTGTTAGTTAGGAAATAATGTAGGCCATTATTTTCTATGGATGTCAAGAGGCTTCAAAGAATATAACCACAGAATTGTATAAAGCCAAGAAACAGTTATCTTACAGAGATTCACATACATGCCCCACTGAAGCCTTAAGACTACTCTAGGTGCAAAGTTGAATATATGCCCCAACAGAACAGGAACTAATATATTAGAGTTATTAGTGTCAAATTCTTCAGCTTTCTATGTTCTACAAGTCATAGTGACCTCAAATTAAACCAGATCCTGCAAAAATGGGGTATCTCTTCCAAAATACAGATCCAACACCTAAAGCAACTTGTTTATTCCAAGATCTCTGTGGTATTCACCTTTCCGCTTTCGTGATAGACAAAAAGGTTCCTTGTTTGACCATCTGTGTTATATGTGATCTGCAGCCCATGAGCATGTTGGATTTTCTCTGTCTGGAACATTGCATTCAGGTTCTCAATGTGGATAATGGCTTTGGGACCTCTGGACTGTGAAATGAAAAGCATCATTGTATTAAGAGCTCTCAGGGAGGGTAATGGAGGAGAGAATAACTGTATGTAAACTAGATCTCTACTGAAGAGAAAACAGACATCCTAAAATATCTGAGTATTGGACATACCTGAAATATGAACCCTTAATTACATAAAATCACTTACAAATAGTGACTCCTTTTCCTTGACAAGTGCTGGGTGGCTATTGAGACTGATGTGCCCAAATTGCAAGGGGTGTGGTCCATCTCCTGTCTCGTAGCTGGAGAACACTTAGCTATGCTCTCCCACAGAAGGGAGACATGTTGAGGAAGATGTTGCAGCAGTCAATGAGAGAGTATTTTGGTAATGTAAGAGGTAACAGCTGCTAACAGATCTTGCTATTCTTCTGCCAGTATCCATTTCCTTTGTTCACTAAGCAAAAGGAGGCTGCAGGGTTAAGATAAGGAATGGGGAAAAGGGCTAAATCTAAAAGAGCAATTGCCCGAGATACCATGTATGTTAGTGGGGAAACAGCTGGGCTCCTCCAAACACAGGCTCTCCTGGCTGCAGAACCAGAGACAAAGCTATTTATGCTGGGTTTTGCCAGTGAAGGGCAGGGTCTGAGGATGGGTCTTGACCAGTTACCTACAGCCAGCTCTGGCTGAGGAACTCACTTCTTTGGTGTAGTACTTCATCACCCCTTCCCTCGCTGACAGGAGAAATCGCCTCTTCTGGAACTGTCTGCTTTCCCTGCCACGCTTCCAGAGGAATCCTTCACGGCTCCCTGCAGGTCAGACCAGGGTAAGTGTCAGAGGAGGGCAGCACAACAGCAAGACTGCTCATTTAAGTGGTGATGTGGCACTAAGTTTGAAGTCTCTTCTCCATCTGAGAATTTTCACTTCGTATGAAAAAAATCAGAGAACTGTAAGACCTGAATATGCCCTTGCACATGTCTAAGTGCCTTGTCTTAGGAGCTTCTTCTCAAAGTTAGACTCAGAGCAAGGCCTGTACATCCAACAGTTCAAATATGAGATGGCAACCTTAAAGACAGCCTTCAAAGTTGTGAACAGAACACCGCCTGTTGGCCTTAAGGCTAACACCTATTCCCTCACAACCCTAACTTTTACCTGCAGAACAAGGATCTTGGCAGACTCGGGTGGCAGCAAATTCCTCACGCTCATATTTAGCTCTAATCCATTGCTCTCTTAAAACCCTGAAAGAGGAAAACATGGATAAAGCTGATCTGCCTCTACTCTACTTTCACCAACCAACCAAAAAGACCTGTAGAGGGAAGTAGTAGCTCAACAGCTATAAAGGTCTGCAGCAGTGAATGCACCATCAACTTACAAGCAATCACAGGACTGGGGGATGTAATAGTAGGGAGGGACTTTTGCCTCATATTTAGCTTTGGCACAGAGGTTCCCATGCTTCTTCATAAACTGAAACACAAAAGAAGTTACAGTTAGGTGTGCAGCTACAAAATCAAGACCGTGTCACGAACACAAAACTTGTATCAAAAGGGAGCACTGCACTATTTGCTCAGTCTCACCATAACTCTCAGTGTGTCTCTACATACATTTATAAATTCTCTTAGGCACTACAGTTTTCACTTTTTAGGTGGCTGAGCCTTTTTCAGTATTTTCAGTTCTGAACCAGATGGGAAGGAACACAAGATTGTGGTTGTTGGTTAAACAAACAAAAGAAAACAAGGAGCCAAATTGTTTATGTTCTCCCTATACCTTCATCTCCTGGACATTAACTGTGATTATATTAACACAATTCAGCTGAAAGATGAAAGGCTGAACCAGTATTTATGAAGCGTTTGTTGATTTCTGAACAGAACATACTATCTGGAAATACCTTGTTGATTTCTGAGCCACAGTAGAGGAGTTACTGTGTGCTGTATTAAAAAA